CTACGTAGTTGAACTTTGTGGCACTTTCCGTGATCGGCTTTGGCGATCCTAGCGCAAATGTGCTTTCGCACATGTGGAACCATAAGGCTGGGTCGGAAAAGTTGTATGGAGGGATTTTTACAGCTCCAATCTCGGCCATGATCTGACGACTGAGGTCTTGAGAAAAGGTAGTAAACGACGTACCTGATGAAGGTTCCAATGGTAGTTCTTTGTCGAATTATGTTCTAAGTCCGGCTCACCAATGTGGTTTTGGCGTGGTGGTTGCTTTTATCCTTAGTCGCTGTGAGTGGAAGAAACGAACGAGACGAGATCGTAACAAAACTAAACTTTTATTGTTCTTCTCGCGTACTAGGTACAGCACATGTCTCGACGACGCGGCTAACAAAGGACAACTGGTTTTTCGACCGTCTTTGTGTAGTGAGTTCGAATTTATTCCAGGAAGTGGTGACTCATATGCCCGGGGGTAATTGCTTGTCTTTTACAACCGTTAAGGATACAGATGTGAAAGGCGGCGTTCGCCACAATTCTAATGTTATCTTGTGTTTTGGAAAGTTCAAACAGGAATTTCTATTACACACCCACATATGAATTTTTTCTTTTTTGACCATTTTCGGTTCAGGAGTCTCAAAACGTGAAAATTTTCAAATAACTCGAAAGGTTAAATTTGACAAGATTCCAATACTTTACCTTCTTATGTATACATAAAACATCAGTGAAAATAAAAGCATTTTTAACCCACGAGTATTTTACACCATTAGAAAAAAAAACAATACGGAAAAATTAAAAGTATAATCGTAGATTTTGATGAAATGTCGATAATTTCACTATTTTAAAATAAAAAGTGGCTTCAGTAAGACACCTTGTGATCAAACTCGTATGTTTTTAGACGTTCTCTGAAGGGTCAACTAGGCATTGGCGCATCAAAGCTAGGCCCACCAGTGGCCAAGCGGTTCCTTCAACATTGGTAGTTCGGTTATGGGTTCGCTCCTGGCCTGGCCTGCCCTCATGGAGTTTTCCGGGTTTTCTCCACGTCTGTAACGACTGAATAGGGGTCAGTTACCCTTTAAAAACAGACCTCCCGGAAGGCACCCCCTAGGCAGATCGCCCAAGTGTTGCGTTGCCATAACTTAATAAAACCAAACTAAAAGCATCAAAGTCCTGCCCTGGTTGCCAGGTCAAATTTTAAATTTTTCTTACATAACTCACCACCAACGGAAAAATGGCGCTGTCTGCAATATTGTTAAATGAAATAAGAGACGAAGACATCATTGAAAATGTTTTTAATCGGTTTTGAAACGCGTTACAGAGCATGTTCAATGTGGTGTCCGCCATTTTTGATAAGCTAGTTACATCGCATTACCGTGTTCTCAACAGTAGCTCAGCATATCAGGAGTAATCTCACAAACAGTTTCGTTTCAAAAACAGATTTAAAACATTTTCAACGACGTTTTCGTATCTTGTTTCGTATAACAATATTGCAGACAGCGCCGTTTTTCCGTTGGTGATGAGTTTTTAAGCTGGTTTTTTTGCGGGAAATAAAATCCCATGACGTCCTGTACACTATTACCAAGTTTGATAACATTCTGTCCAGTAGTTTTCATTTTATGGCCATTTCAAAGTGAAACTTTAATTATAATCACCCTGTATAATGAAAATTTTATAATTGATAGTTAATCGATTGCCTCCTGCCCCCTAAGCTTTCCACATCTGGTCTTGACTATATACAGTACTATAAGTTATTTTATTGTTAACTGTATAAAATAATTGGGCTGCAATTTTAAGAGTGTAGACCCAAGGCCACTTGATCGCTTCGCTAGTAAGGCCGTCCGCCAACTCTCTCTCTCTATGAGACCGAGCGTATAGACGCTAGTTAATATTTTCTCCGCTTGTGGCGCTGACGATCGGTGACATCCATCGTCAGCGATTCAGGTGGAGAGTATAGAGGAGTTTGGAGACGTCGCTGCATTTAAATATTTTTCTCATTAAAGCAGGTTGAAAACTTTTGACAATCAAGAAATGAGCTGCTGCAAACGATGTTCCCTAGTTTGTGAAAAAAGCAAAATAATAATACAGTATTTTTCACAACTTTATTTTCATAAGACGTTTTTAGGAAGAAATAATAACTGAGTATTATTGGCATGGAAAATACAAACTTTTTCACATTAATACTATTTAATCATCTCTTTTCGATTCTTAAAGATACCAGTAGTTAATCGTTAATGTAAATATTTTTTTTACTCGAAAAGTATGCAAAATTAGCAAAACTAGGTTATCTACAGTATGCACTGTCTACTATAAAAATTTTCACATTTTCGGACCATATATGATAATTATTAAAATGTTGTGTATTAAATCTGTTATAAAATTATTACTTTTGTTAATCAAGACTGTAAGAATAAATACCGATATAACCTTTCGAAAAAATTTGCTTATTTTTTTGCAAAAATAAGCAAAGTTTTTAGTTAGTAAAAGAATTTCGAAAAATATGCACGGAAATATGGTGATATTGAAGGTAAGAACTTATTATAATTAATATTGGAGAAGTACACAGAAATGTGAACAAAAGCAACATATATTGTTTTAAAGTTGAAATTAAAAGTATAACTATGGTAAAAGTAACATTGCTTCAGTTTACATCTCTAATATAAATAAAATTCTTTATAGAAAAAGCAAAAGCTTATTACATAAGAAAAATTAATTTATTGAATAAAGTGTACACTGTTTTTGACTGAATTTTACAGTTTGTAAAATTCAGTCAAAGACCAGAAATGTACTTAGCTTCCTCCTCATCAGAAATTTACAATATGAATTAGACAACATTAGACTTTTAATATTTTTCTAGAAATGGGCTTATGATGCAGTCTGAGAACTTTTTCCACAGTTTGACCACACAATGAATGTATTTATATCTATATACCAAGCTGCTGTTGAAGAGAAATCCCGTCAACCGTATATAACTCACGAATAAGTATAACTAAATACAACTATAACTATATGTAATTATCACAATTTCATAAAATAGCTATACTCGCACACAAAAGTACAAAACGACCAATTTACTCAACAGACGATTCTCACCGATAACTAGCGCCAAAATCTTTCGCAGCGGCAAAAAATGGAAACAGTGTGAATACGGCAATTTTCCTTACGGCGGACGGCCTTACTAGCGAAGCGATCAAGTGGCCTTGGTAGACCTATAAATTCCTACTGTTGCCTGTCCTTCTTAATCTCAAGAACGGTATTAGGTGAAAGTCAAGACCAGATATGGAAAGTTTAGGGGGCAGGAGGCCCCGATTAACTATATACAAACTTCCGCTTTGGGCCGAAAGTCACGTTATTTCAATTAAAAAATTTCTCCTGAATGGAGTCAGATACGTAATTGGCCTGACTTCATTGTTAACGAAAAAAGTACGAGGCACAGTGGCAAGACACTACCAAAATTGAGTTCAATGTGAAGAAAAATTGTAGCCCGGCAATGTGATGACGACACAATAGTTACTCGTTTATATTAAATTATTTGGGTTATTCTTCTCCAGAACCTATCAACACTTGACTAACAGTAAGTTATTTAATTATCATACAGTATATTTTATAATTATATATTTTAAGAAACATCGCAGTAGTGTAAGAATGATTCCGGTACTTCTTTATGTAAATATGGTAATGTAGGCGATTTTAGTTATTCGGGATATTTAATGTCTACGGATGGCAAAACGCGTAAGAAGGGATTTATTTGTGTAGAAGGAAGCGATCCAGAAGTAAGAACTAGTGCGGGAGGAGAGGATTGCCTTCTCCGGTGTATTACTGAAATGCAATACTCTTCCTTGCTCCACGGAAAAAGAAGGAAATGGAATTCCTTGCGCTGTTTGCGCATTTAAAATTTTTTTTTTTTTTTTTTCAGAATTAAATGTACGTTTTAAATATCTTGGAAAATAAAGTTAATGTTTAGAAATACAGTATTAAATACTTCATATTTCGTGCGAAATTCAATACAAAGATTTAATTCCGTTAATACCGTTTAGAGCAATTTTTGAAAAATAATTAATTTAAAAATGAATAATTTATATCTTAAAATAATTCATTAATTAATTTTTACAAAACATTAAAACACGGAATAACATATTTTTGTATGGTAACAATTCTTAATTAATCACTTAATTATAATGAAAAGTGTAATTTTTATTACAAATATGTTAACGAAGTTATCGAATTTGATGTATTTATAGATTCATTTACATAAGTTATACTGTATATACGAGTTAATTTCGGTGAAATTTAAAAATTAACCGAGCGAGCAGATGTCGGCGATAAAAATACCAAATTAAATTTGCTTGTTGATATAAAATTTCTCTGATTCATCCGATCGTCTGAGAATGCAATCAGTCCACGATAGTGAAGTTACCTGCAATCAGATTCTGTATAATTTACTACGTAAAAATGGGACCACCAATGGTATAAAGCAGGAACCAATGTTTATACTAGAAACGACTGTATAACGTAACCGCGTGTTGATTTTTTGTAAAATATAATGTTTGGGTGCATAACTTTTAAAAGAATAACGTAGTTTGATGTTTAATGAACTTTTTCTTAATACTTCCCTATTATCCGACATGTTTGCTTATCCGACGTTTTACCCGCCCGTTTAGGTCGGATAATCCAGACTCTATTGTATATGTAAAGTCATATTAAACAAAACAACCTAGAAACCAAGAGAAGATCGAAAAACCCAGATGTGGGTTTTAAAACCAAGGAGTGGTAACCCTGCTTACGACGGGTATCGTTCTTATTCTCCAATCTTTGGTATCGCTGGTTTTGAGCGCCATCTTTGAAACTTCGCCTGTCTCGGCCACCAGGTCATCCACCAGGCATTTTCGGTGAAATTCATCTATCCAATTTCGAAATTACTCTCCGTTGCGTGTCGTTCCGGCTTGAATTTTTGCCGATGCCTAACGAAAATTTCTCGTTTTTGAAAAAAATAATCGTGGCTATTGTATCGTTCGAAATTATTTTATTATTTTGTTCAAATAATATATACATGTTCATAAATATAAAAAAAAAACAAATTATATTTAGGAAGTTAGTTTTAATATAAAATTATAACGACGCGCCATCTAGTTTCAAAAACGTTCCGATGATGAAACGCGACATCTCCGGTCAATCGGTCAAGGTTAGCACGTGGCGACCAGAAATATTTGTGGAATAACACGGGACAGGTAAATGGGTTTTTTCAAAGATTCGTTTGTCAAAATTTGATTTCACAATATTCGTATTTCCAACTTCCCAACCAGCAACGCATGCGCAAATCTCGCGCTACTGCGTGTTTGTAGAGAGTGTCGCCATTTTGTATTTTATTTAGACTCGGTTCTCGGTCCCCCGACTACCTACGAGTCTGTTTTTTTTNTTTAATTCCGTTAATACCGTTTAGAGCAATTTTTGAAAAATAATTAATTTAAAAATGAATAATTTATATCTTAAAATAATTCATTAATTAATTTTTACAAAACATTAAAACACGGAATAACATATTTTTGTATGGTAACAATTCTTAATTAATCACTTAATTATAATGAAAAGTGTCATTTTAATTACAAATATGTTAACGAAGTTATCGAATTTGATGTATTTATAGATTCATTTACATAAGTTATATATACGAGTTAATTTCGGTGAAATTTAAACATTAACCGAGCGAGCAGATGTCGGCGATAAAAATGCCAAATTAAATTTGCTTGTTGATATAAAATTTCTCTGATTCATCCGATCGTCTGAGAATGCAATCAGTCCACGATAGTGAAGTTACCTGCAATCAGATTCTGTATAATTTACTACGTAAACATGGAACCACCCAATGGTATAAAGCAGGAACCAATGTTTATACTACAAACGACTGTATAACGTTACCGCGTATTGATATTTTTTCTGTTGATTTGTTGTAAAATATAATGTTTGGGTGCTTAACTTTTAAAAGAATAACGTAGTTTGATGTTTAATGAACTTTTTCTGAATACTTCCCTATTATCCGACATGTTTGCTTATCCGACGTTTTACCCGCCCGTTTAGGTCGGATAATCCAGACTCTACTGTATATGTAAAGTCATATTTAAAAAAACAACCTAAAAACCAAGAGAAGATCGAAAAACCCAGATGTGGGTTTTAAAACCAAGGAGTGGTAACCCTGCTCACGACGGGTCTCGTTCTCATTCTCCAATCTTTGGTATCGCTGGTTTTGAGCGCCATCTTTGAAACTTCGCCTGTCTCGGCCACCAGGTCATCCACCAGGTATTTTCGGTGAAATTAATCTATCCAATTTCGAAATTTCTCTCCGTTGCGTGTCGCTCCGGCTTGAATTTTTGCCGATGCCTAACGAAAATTTCTCGTTTTTGAAAAAAATAATCGTGGCTATTGTATCGTTCGAAATTATTTTATTATTTTGTTCAAATAATATATACATGTTCATAAATATAAAAAGAAAACAAATTATATTTCGGAAGTTAGTTTTAATATAAAATTATAACGACGCGCCATCTAGTTTCAAAAACGTTCCGATGATGAAACGTGGCGACCAGAAATATGTGTGGAATAACACGGGACAGGTAAACGGGTTTTTTCAAAGATTCGTTTTTCAAAATTCGATTTCACAATATTCGTATTTCCAACTTCCCAACCAGCAACGCATGCGCAAATTTCGCGCTACTGCGTGTTTGTAGAGAGTGTCGCCATTTTGTATTTTATTTAGACTCGGTTTTCAGTCCCCCGACTACCTACAAGTCTGTTTTTTTTATGCGCGCATGATTTGGGCACCTAATACTCTGTGCCAAATTGCAACTCCTGACATGTACTCCTTGGGTGCATATACTTTTCGTTTTGTATAGATTGATCTGTAAAATCGGATCAGTCCTTGTCACGTGATACAGATAGCTTCTGTCATGGCGGAAAGTATACGAGTAGGATCGAAGATGGCGGCAAGTTTAGGAATCTTTTTAGAAATATTATCCGAATTAGATTCAGAATCCGAGGAAGAAGAATTAATTTTGGTTAATTATTTAACACAATATAAAAGTAAGAAAAAAAAAAGAAATCGGTATGCAAAATAACTGTTTCAGAGGTTGCACTAGAATATAGGCCAAATGTTTTTAAAGAACACTTTCGAGTAAGTCGACTTACTTTCGAAAATTTACTGAAGGATCTTGTTCCCATTTTATTACAATCAAAAGAAATAGTAATAGGAAAAGGAAGAAATGCACTGTCAGCTTAACTTCGACCATGGAAGCCGCCATCTTTAATCTCTTTTATCCGATCCAAACGATCCTACCCTCCGCTAGGATTAGTTTGATCGAGATCCAGTTGATCCTAGATGGCGTTTGTATACGCAAATAGAGATCGATCGG